GATTTACCAGACGTCTACTAGTATTAGCAGGGGATAAGCCTGTTAGCCTAAGGTCTGACGTGAAAGATAGAGGAATAATTACTAGTGAAATTCATTGTTTTGTCTGCTGCTCCTGAGCAAAAGCAAATTAAAATGGACATGATTCTTGTGAGTTTCACTGCTCCACTTGAAGTTCAAAGTAGTGGCAGTAAGACTACCTAGCTCCTTGTCAATATCACTCTGCTGACGCTGTGGAATATATGATAAGCAGCAGAAACACTAGAATAAGCTATCTGCAGACTCAGGAAGACTGCTAATAGGCTACATTCATTTTGCATTTGGAATTAGAAAAACAAAAATCTAACTTTTTTTTGTTGATGGAGCCCAAATTCTGTAGAAATTGATGGTTCATTCAATAGAGACCTTCAGTCACTGAAAGCTTATGGCGTTTTGCCCCTAAATTATGGAATTGTAAATTGAGAATTTCTACTCAATCATGTGGAGTTCTTGTATATACACTTGATCTTATCCAAAATTGCAAATTATGAAATTATAGCATACTTTATTCAGTTTGTGCTTCCATTGAAATCAATGGAATTTTAGACAAAATCCAACCTTCAGAATCAAGCTTTGCATCTCTATTTGCAAGTGATTTCTTTATAGTTCAATTATAATTGCAACATAATTTATCTTTTTTTAAAAAATGGCTTCTATTTTAAAAGATATCTATGAATCCAAAAGCTGTTTCCTTACGGAAAATATTTCCTAATCCGCTTTGGCAGGATTAAAATGTAAAATATTCTAGCACTATAAAAGAGAAGCTTCAGGTGGATTTTATACCAGTTTTTTCTGTCTTTGAAGATTATATATTATTGCAGCTGATAAATGAAAAGTTACCTGAATTATGGTATTAAACTTGCCTATATCTTTATAAGAATTAATTACAAGAAGTTTTCCTTAGGAAATACTGACTTGAGGCTAAGTTATTTTATTTATGTCAGCCTCTAAAGTTGTGACATGATTCCTGCATCTGAAAATGACAATTACAGCCTCAATCCTTAAATGTATTCAGGAGCCTGGTAGTAGGTGCCCAAATATCTTTGAAAATCAAAACCTACTCTCTCATGCAGTAGAAATTGCCTGAACTGTACAGGGAAGTAGAAGAGGAATTCCACTTGTACTGCTTCCTGGAATTTTAGGATCAGATTCACATTTGTTTTACACTAAAGTTTTTATCCTGCAAAAACTTACACATCGTCTGAACTTTACAACTGCGAGTAATCCCACTGATTTTAATAGTGAAGTTAAACATGTGCAAAACTGCTTGCAGAATACAGACCCAAAAGAGCTTATTTTAAGCTATATTTTCTAGCTTAATTGGAAACAAGAGAATCTTATTAAGGAAACTTTGTATTGTATTGCTGAGCTCAGGGCATGTATTCCTAATAACTTAGATAAAGAGGTACAAAGTCTAAATAATTTCCAGAAAGCACATAGGTCCTATGTCTGATGTGGCTGGCATACATTAAAAAAATCAAATTTCAATATTTTCCAGTTGTCGCTATACAGCACTTAAATCCCTGTTTCTAATGTTGACAAATGTAATTTTGGTGGTGATTTCTGCATGCAATATGTAAGTGTACTTTGTGTGCAGTAATTGCAGATCTGTAGCAAATATTCATGTACAGTTATTTCAGTTCTAACTACTGCAGGTAAATGTTGACTTTTCATGGTGGCTAGTTCAAAGGAACTATGAGAATTTAGTGTATTTCAGTGAAGCCTATCACACATACAGGTGTTGAGGTGAGACGTATTTTTTTTTAAATATAAATAACTGGTTCAAGCAAGACAAACATTGTACAATTTGTCTTTTAATTCTTTGATGATATGAGAAAATTGAGTAAATAAATTAAGGTAGTCAAAAGGCATTTTAATTTATTCAACTAGCATGTACTCAGCAAATCACTGTGGGTCTAATTGTCCTAGAAAGTATTACAGGAAGATATATTTTCAAACAAATGAGCTCTTCACTAAGAATATGTAAAATGCCTTAGATACAAACAAGTTTTATTTATCAAACACATACAAAGACCTTATTGTTTCCAGCATCTTTCAATGTATTTTTATGATGATCCTAAGAAATACCATTTTAGATAATGTTTGCGCTATTTCATGCTGTCTCATCGTAGCTATTGATGGACTCTTATTACCAATTTTTATTTGTATTCCTAGACCTGAGTACCACCGGGCAACTGATAATTTGTGGTTTTGGGTGGGGTAAGATAAGATTTTTTTCAAAAGAAATTGGTTTTGTTTGGGAGTAGGAGAATGGGAGGTTTGTAAACTTTGTCTTGAAAGGGAAAAAACTAGTGCCACCTCCTAAAAGTTCACTGGAGCACCAGCAGCCATAGAGAGGATAGAGATTAACATTCTGCTCCTAATTGCACAAGTTATAATATATCTACATCACTGTAACTAGATCACAATTTGTTCAACAACTTTTTAGAGGGACTGAAGTTATGTTTTTCATTAATCCAGCTAGTTCCTTTTAACATTATTCCAGTCAGTTAGTTACAAAATATATAGTGATAGAAATGTAGCCGTGTTAGTCTGGGGTAGTTGAAGCAAAATGCAGGACAATGTAGCACTTTAAAGACTAATCAACTGAGGAAGCATTTTGTTACAAAATATATACTGTGTGTTAAGTATCAGAGGGGTAGCCGTGTTAGTCTGAATCTGACGAAGTGGGTCTTTGCCCACAAAAGCTTATGCTCCTACACTGCAGTTAGTCTATAAGGTGCCACAGGACTCCTTGCCACTGTGTGTTAAGACTCACAAAAAAATCAGTAAAAACTTAAAACAACAAATAGTCTGAAACAAGCATTCAAGTTCAGGGACATGACAGAGGCCATTAAAAGTTTGAATATACTTTTAGAAGAATAGTGTGCTCCCAATGTTTCAGACAATCAGATTGAAGAGACAGAGGTTTACACTGGACATAAGATATGGCTCCAACCTAGAAAAACCAGAACAGAGACACTAAAATGGATCATTTAGATAGTATATACTACAGGTTGAACCTCTCTAGTCCAGCACCCTCAGGACCTGATCAATGCCAAACCAGAGACTTTGCTGAACCACGGGAGGTCTAGGACTATTACTAACGCTTTCACTGCTTACTGGGCTTTTAGAAGACATTTAGGGGTAAATTAGGGCTGAATAACAGCACAGTACACTCAGAGCCAGGACTAGAGGCTGTAAACAAATTTTATGAGACCATGGGAAACTTGTCCACACCCATGATAAGTGGACATCCAGCTAACTAAAATCATGCCAGACTACGATGTCATACTAGAGAGTGCCGGTCTAGAGAGGCTCAGCCTGTAATAAATGAACTAATTTAACACAACTTTTATCTTTAGATATTTCTTATTTTTGCATTGCTTTTTAAAAAAAAAATCAATATCCGTTATATTCTCTTAGTCAAGATGAGCCTCACTCCACAACTTTTACACTGAGTACCACTTACACAAAGAGCCCAGTTAGCTTCAGTGAAATTATCTGTGTGAGCAAGAGTTCCAGAACTGGATCCCACTTACAATTCGAGCATGTTGCCTTGATATGAAATGTAACTTCAGTACCTAATTGTGCAGTTCCCTAAGCCAAACACCACTCCTCCCCCACTCAGGTGAATGTCAAGGCAGAATCATTAAAAATGACACGTCTTTACTGCATAGATGGTGGACCTGAATTTTCATTGCACTACTCCAGTCAGACATCAGTGTAATGCCTTTGAAACTATTGGTATAAGAAAGAGTGGAAAATCAGTCCTTAGAATGACAGTCCAATGGTTTATCTTTTAATATCCCATGTGATATCAAGTACCTGCTTTCCTAATCAATAATGTAGACTTACTGAAGTAAGAACACAATGGGGGGACTCCATATGTACTCATATTAGTAAGGTTTGGGAATTTGTCTTCATGCTGTTTTCTCATCCAACCGATTGAGGGAAGCCAGACAATCATTACACCCATGAATGAACTCACACTGAAACATGATAAAAGTCAAAAATCCCATGTTGCCTATGGGCGGCGCTTTTCACAAAACCATGACTTTATGTCTGATCCTCATCGTTGAAGGAAACCTGCACAACACTTTCAAACAACAAGCCTGAGAGCTTAAATTTATAACTTTGCTAGACACTAAAAATCATGGACTGTGCAGAGTCACTGGATTTATGGCTTATTACAACAATTCACACCTCCCTAACTCTCTCTTTTTGTCATAATGGGATTGTCTACCTTGAATAGTCCCTTATGATATGTGCTAACTATGCTAAACAGTGTGTTCCACCTTGGACTTTGCTGTAATACAGGGAGTACTATTCCCAGACCTGAAGAAGAGCTCTGTGTGGCTGGACTGCTTGTCTCTCTCTCACCAACAATAGCTGAGTGTCCAATAAAAGATACCACCTCACTCTCCTTGTGTCTCTAATATCCTGGGACCAATAGGGCTACAATTACACTGTGTACAGCTGAGAATCCTATTATTTATGGATTTTTTTTCTCAGTTTTTTTCCATTTGTTTACTTTGGGTATTTGGCAGCACTTCATGCATATTCAGTTTCATTGTATTCCATTCATAATCAGCTAGTAAATCAATTTTGTCCTTTTGTTTTTTATGAGTCTTTCATGCAACAACAAAGAAGAGAAAAATGTTCTTAACAATAGGCAAAAGGAGCTTTTAAAACCACAATATTAGCTGGGGGATTAAGGGACAGGACTTCAATTTGTTTCTTTTGTGTAGTGGGTTTCATGTTGGCGGTATGTCTAACTTTCTTACATTTAATATTCAGCTAGATTTCATAATTGTGTGACATTTGTTTTTTATGTAACCTATTTTGAAGTTCTGGATAAAAAGGTCATGTTTTAATAATAGTGTATGTAGACATGCAAAAAATGAAAATTTGGTTACATCATCCATTAATCTCCCTGGTTTTGTTTTTTTGTTTTTCTCAAGCTGCCTGTCTCATCCTGGGCTGCATGATTTTTCCTGATGGCTGGGATTCAGATGAGGTAAAACGGATGTGTGGTGAAAAGACAGACAAGTACACACTTGGGGCTTGTTCAGTCCGCTGGGCATATATCCTGGCTATTATTGGAATCTTGGATGCTCTGATCCTCTCATTTCTGGCATTTGTGCTTGGCAACAGACAAGACAGCTTGCTAGCAGAAGAGCTCAAGTTGGAAAACAAAGGTAGGATTGCCTCTGGGAATGATATTACTCTGGGCTGCCTCAAGGGCAAATACTTAAAAAACAATTATCTCTCTTTTCTTTTTAGCAAAAAATAGCACACTCTCTTATTTTGTATTTTGATGGGGAGGTTTAATATTATTTTAAATCCCAGATCAAAGAACTTCTTAAGTTACAATAATTTCTGTTCTGTTAAATAACTTTCCTGATTTGTACTTAACATTCTGGAAGGAGTAGATAAAATGGGTTGGGTTTTTTTCATATTTGCCCTTTAGTTTCCTCACTTGTTTTCTGTTTCATTATCATTTAAACTTTACCATCTCCATCTTTGTCCATACAGCTCTCTAGATTTGTTCTTATTTTGATTCCTTTAAGATTTTGCATTGTAATGTGAATATCGGTGGTATACCATGTTACTGTGTAATAGAAAGATACAAAGAGAATGGATGGCTTGTGAGACTAGTAATGAACTATGTAATGGGATAGCCCAGGGGTAATTACAGGCCCACTGACAGGGTAGATAAACAGGGCAGTTGCCCTGGGCCAAGTGTTTCCAAAGAGCCTGGGTTCCCAGTCTCCACCGCCACTACCACAGGAGTGACAGCCAGAATTCCAGGCCCTTTGAATTGCCATCAGAGTGCTGCATAGCATGCTCCAAGTGACTGTGAGGGCTGGGGGAGAAGAGTGGCATAGCATGCTTCAGGCATCATTGAGGGCTGCAGCTACCCCAGTCCTGTCCCCTTCTACCTGAGGCCCCACACCTTCCAGGAGCATGGAATTGTCCCTCCATACCTTGCCAAAGGGCCCAGCAAGTCAGTCAGCCCCACTGAGTAGTTAATGGGCAGACTGGAGGCCCTATTCACGACTGCAAAATGTTTTAATGTACTTATTATCATTATTGTTATTTATTATTCTTTACTATTATTTTCTCTGAAGTCTGGACCTTGACTACACATTAACCAAGAAATTTGGACCTTGACAAATAATTGACTACCTCAGGATGACCTATGTCAGTGTTTTTCAAACTGGGGTCTGCAAGAGTACTCCAGGGAGTCTGCCAGCCCTGCTGACAAGCTCCTCCCCCTCCTTATCTCCCTCACTCTCTCCCTCAACTCCTCTACTTCCCTCCCAGTGTCTCCTGCACATCACAGAACAGCTGTTCAACTACATGCAGGAGATCTGGAAGCATGGAAGAGGAGCAGGGGCAGAGCACATTTGGGGGAGGAGTGGAAAAAGTGGGACATTGGGGGATAGGGTGGAGTGGGGATAGGTCCTGGTGCTCAGTGAGTAGGCTTGGGGCCACAAAATATTTAAATCAAAATGGGAGTTCTCAGGAGGGTGCCAAAGTTTGAGAACTGCTGGCCTGTGTACTAAGGCACCATGCTCTAGTGATTGAACAACAGGGCGCCAAGCCACAGCAGCAAAGCTCTAACCCATATTCTGATTCCACTTACTGTCTTGCCTTGGACTAGTTTCTAAGCCACCTCACATGGCTTTGGGGTAAATTAATAATGGAATGTTAATGCAGTAATTTAGGAATGTGACATACTGCTAGGTTGCTGTTGATAATAATAATAGGCATTCTCCACCGCTACGGCTACATTGGCATGATCTTGCGCAAATACTCTTTAACGCAAGAGTTCTTGCGTTAAAGTATTTGCGCAAGAGAGCGTCTACACTGGCATGTGCCTTTGTGCAAGAGATGTGCCTTTGCGCAAGAAAGCTCTGATGGCCATTTTAACTATCGGGCTTTCTTGTGCAAGAAATTCATGTTGCCTGTCTACACTGGCCTCTTGCGCAAGAACAGTTGTGCAAGAGGGCTTATTCCTGAGTGGGAGCATCATAGTTATAGTGCAAGAAGCACTGATTTCACACTTTAGAATGTCATTATTCTTGCGCAAGAACTCCCCGCCAGTGTAGACAGGCAGTATGTTTTTGCGCAAGAGCAGTCGCTTTGGTGCAAGATCGCGCCAGTGTAGACACAGCCCACCTCTCGGAAGCCAGTAGAAGCATAACGCTGTTCCTACTGCACAGGTGTCTGCATCTTCAAAGCATTTATGCAATTATTGCTAGCTAGCACAGTTGCCATCAGTCAGCACATGGAAGCCAAAGCCTAATATAACTTGAAGACTAAACTACCCACACAAGTCTAGTCCTGGCTATTGCCCTATTAAAGTGTTTAGGAAAGTGTGTACTGTCACTGCCTTTAAACTACATGCTATGTGGACAGATAAACCGAGGGCCTCATTTTCCAGGTCTGTCAGTATGGCATCTTTCTACAAGAATGACATTCACTTACCATTTTAAAAGTAAATTCTAAAAGGAACATTAATATATGCGTCTTCTAAGATAGGCATAAGCACATTTAGGATTTTTCTCAGGAAACCGAGTATACAATTGAAACTAGAAGTGAGCACAGGGTCAGAAATTTTGGCTTATCTGAATTTCATCTACCAGAATTTCAGATACACCTTTTTTAATGTACTGTACTGTACTGTATCTCTTTAATGAATATATTAATTCAAGGTAAAAAGCTGGATGATAAAACACTTCCACCTTAAATTTGTGAATGTTTATTTGAATCTTGCTTTGCCAAGATTTGCGTTGGCTCTAATTATACCACTTTTATACCCACTGATCCTGGGGGCATACATTATGGCTAGATCTACACTGCAGCCAAAGTTTGGCTTAAGGTACTCAATTCCAGCTGCGTAAAAAAGGTAGATGGAGTTGACATACCTTAAGCTGACCTTCAGTGCCATCTTTACATTGTGAAGTTAATGGGAGAAATGCTCCCTCCTACTTCCCTTATTCCTCTCAAGGAGTAGGAGTTCTGACATCAACAGGGGCGCTCTCTGCATTCAATCTAGTGGGTCTTTACTAGATCCATATTTCTCCATAGTCTAGACATGACCAACAAGACCCAGGATTGCTCTGACCAATGCTAGCTGCAACTGTCCCATATGAGCTATTTAGAGATTACTGAAGTGCAAGGCCACTCACGCAGCATGCCATGACATACAGCTGTCTGTGCTGGCTCTACATCAGTCAGGGTACGTCTACATTAGTCCCCTAGTTCGAACTAGGTGGCTAGTGTAGACGTATCCCCAGAGATTCCCCTACAGAAAGAGAATGCCTAGCATGTCATCTTCTACCACAAAAAAGCCAGAGATCTGACTCTTATGTGTTTTGATGCTGTGGAATAGCTAGGCATGGGAGAAGAGACTGCAATAAAGTATACGCATAGAAATATTATTAACTGATACAGTAAAAGCACAGTGTCATTATTGGAGGTTATTAATGATTATAATTGTAAGATTACTTTGGACCCAATCCTGCAGTTTTAACTCAAGCAAACTATTGACATTTAGAATAGTTAAAAGTGAATGCCCAAAAATAAAAACCATGTCTTATAATTCTGAACTGGACTGCTGAGGACTGAGAAAAAGTGTGTCTCATGTAAGACAGATTTATTTTTTTTACCATTTCTTACTCATCTCTAGTTTATTCAGGTTTGAAAGTAAATCTAACACATCAGACAATCCGTGTTCTAGGTCTGATTAATATAACTCAGTCTGGAATGTAATTTTCAAGGCATAGTCTATATGAAGTTTTTCTAATGTATAACTTCTGTGTTACAATCTGTATATATATTTTCATGCAAAATCAGCTGTAACCTGAAGGAATGATGCATCTCTAAAAAAACTCATGGGCTGTGTCTAGACTGGCCACTTTTTCCGGAAAAGCAGGCGCTTTTCCGGAAAAAGTTGCCAGCTGTCTGCACTGGCCGCTTGAATTTCCGCAAAAGCACTGACGATCTCATGTAAGATTGTCAGTGCTTTTGTGGAAATACTATGCTGCTCCCATTCGGGCAAAAGTCTTTTTCCGAAAAACTTTTGCGCAAAAGGGCCAGTGTACTCAGCAGAGATTTGTTTTCCGCAAAAAAGCCCCGATCGCGAAAATGGTGATCGGGGCTTTTTTGCGGAAAAGCGCGTCTAGATTGGCCACAGATGCTTTTCCGCAAAAAGTGCTTTTGCAGAAAAGTGTCCTGTCAATCTAGACGCGCTTTTCCGAAAATGCTTTTAACAGAAAACTTTTCCATTAAAAGTATTTTCGGAAAATCATGCCAGTGTAGACGTAGCCACATGGTATTTATGCTGTCAATGAAAATTGGGAACAGAATCAATAGCTGTGCACGGGCCTGACAACAGAAGGTGGGTAGGGGGGGCGACAAAAGGCAGATGCCCTCTGCCCAGCAATTCAAAAGAGCCCAGAACTCCTGGACCTTTAAATTGCCACCAGACCCCTGAGGGCTTGCGGGGGGGGGGAGGTGTCATGTTGTGGTCTCAATTCCTGGCCCCACCCTTTTCACCTGAGGCCCCCCTTCAGGGAGCATGGAGCCAGGACTCCCACACCGTGCCCAGGGACCTGACAAGTCAGTCAGCTCCCCTGGCTGTGCATATTTTGCTTTTTCTTACAGGAATCAACAGTATGGCTTAAAGCACTGTATATTAACAAAATTAATGCCAATCGGTGGGGTAGCACAGGATAAGAATTAATCTTCATTTTAGGCTTCATCAAAACCATTTAAAATGAGCCAGCAATACCAGGCATTTACCTTGATGTTTTCTATAACAGTATAATTTAACATGTTGAACTGTAGTAATTTTAATTGTGTAAAATTCAGGTTCTAACCAAAGCATGACATGATCACAAGAGTTGTATTTTCCATTTCTTTTGGAAAAAGGATAAATATTGTGAATGCAAAAGGTTCTGCTTTCATGCATGTTATGAGGCATCCGTGTATAGGTGTTCCGGATGAAACTCTCCTCTTCAGGGAAAGAATCAAAGTTACACCATGCAGCAAACTCCACGTAGACAGATATCAGTGAGATTGTGAGGGTTAAAGTACTCACCTTTGACTGGATAAGCTGTCAAATCAATTTTTCTGAGTTTCAGGGCTATTTTGCTGTGTGTCTATTTCAGCAAAAACAAAGAAGAGT